TTAGCTAGAAACGTGATCGGGCCCTTCAGGAGCAACTCACGGAGCATGTGTCACTGACAGGATCAAACATGAGAATGACCCTCCGCATATCCCACGTGATCCTGGGGCCGACAGATGATATCCAAGCTGTGAAGCCTATCCATATCACAGCAGGGGAGCGTTTCAATGGCTTCCTGCCAGAGGATGGAGTCTCGACGCGCCTTCCATGCAAGCAAAGACAGCATCATGTGTAGTGGCTCTCAATTTCTGCGGGTGCCTGGGATGCATCAAAAGCATGCAGCACAGGGCACTGGCTTCCTAAACCAGCCACTGGTCTTTTTAATCCGTAAGACGAGGCCGTTAGAGCCAAGACCTGGAGCAGCAGGACGATCAATTCTTCGAGGCCAATCTCCTGGGCCCACTTCATCCGGTTAAAAGTTTAGGCTAAGCCCTTGTAAGGCTGCAAACCCTATTTCGTGCTTGGTGTTGTGGGGCTACTGCAAAACCCAGTTGTCACGGCCTTTTCAAGTTCTCGGGCAAACGCCGAAGTCATAAACAACCATTTTGTTAGCACTCCTGCAAGGAATACCACCCACCCAAAGCAGAAGTCATGAACAACACCCGCCTCTATGCAACCGCTGCACCCGCAAGCTACCAGAAGTCCTGCCCTGAAAACATGGATTTTGAGAATCTACCGGAAGTGGACCTTCAGGATATATGAATTGTGGCAACAGACAGACACATCTCAATTCTTCTATCTTAATTAAGCACATCTCAATAGCAAATCTGCAAGGACACAGTGGATTGTTACGGCTGTGTGTGTTTGTGTCTGCACTTCCCCGCCTTTAACCGCACATGAACTGCATGTTGTTACGAGTTAGTTGGTCCCCTGTAGTCACGGCTTTTAAAGTTGAACTTCCGTTCCCGCTGTCCTCGCCAACCTCCATGTCTTCATCATCCTCGTCCTCATCCGTGCCTGTGGCTGCGAGCAAGGCAAACGAGGAAGGTCTAGCAGCCAATTGCAGGGGCAAACTTTATTGTTGTGACTCAATTTTCTTTTCCATTATCCCCCATCTAACCCAATATGACCCTAATGTTGCCCTAATGGGTACCAAATATTCCTGGGGGTATTTGATTCAAGTTTAGCTTTATGCAAGTAGCAGGAGCCGTGAGCTCCTGGGGTCTTACGGTTTCAGTGACAATCAATAATGGAGAATCAAATGGAAAAGAAAATGGAAAATGAAATGGAAAATGGGATTATGAAGGGGTTATTATGCTGGACAAGGTTGCATTCATGAATGCTTGGCCTTCCATCACCTCATCCTCGGAGAGCGCCTGGCAATACAAAACACAAGTGTTGCTTTCCGGCCCGGAACTCCCATCCCAGTCTCATGCTGGGATTGGAATTGTCAGGTGAATTGGTGCTCGACACACGGGTTCTCTGGAAAGGGATTTCGTTGACAGTTAACAAAATAGAACGTGGGCGATGTATATCGATGTGTGCAATCTTTTCCTCCTGGGAGTTCAGGCAGGGAAATGCTCTTGTTCCAATTTTCCGGCTTCTACGGCAATCATCAGACAGTTGGGCCTCCGTTGCTGTTGCGCCGCCTGTAGCGGGCCTGAAGGGAGCTCCGGGAGAGCAGCATTTTGTCCGGCTGGCAACAATGTCGGTTTGCAGCCATGACTAAAAAAATGCCGCACACCCACTTACCCGGATGCTTTGTCTCTCTTGTCATGGGCTCGGTTGGACTTCAAGGGATATCATTGGGAACCGGGTTTCTATTCAACATGTTTTGAAGTTCGAGACGGAAGTGGCCAAAGGCACGACACAAACAAGATTGACTATTATGAAACGGCTTTGACTTCCTGGAGAGTGAGCAGATGAGTCTCTGATGGATCCAAGGCCAAGGCCGGTAAAAGGACAATTCTGAATCTGGGTTGCCACGTTGAACGCACGATCCACTAGCATGGAAGTCACCGGGTTTCCTTCTAGCTGGGCTCGTCTTCAACTGTCATATCCTGATTTTATAGCCCGTTCAGCGTGACTTGTAGGGTCCCAAAAACTCTGAAGTTGCAGGGTCACCCGTTGGTTTGGATCAACTTACCCTGGGTGCGCGCTCCTCTTTGCAGAGCTGCTACGCATCAGCTCATGCCCCAACCAAAGGCCACAGCATGCGGTATGCAGCATATCACAACCAAACCCCTGTAAGACGAAGGCGGCGATGGCAGCGAGTCCTGGCTATGAAGCGCTGCTCAGATAGTCCGAAACACGCAAAACACATATGCCACCTTGAATGGGTGAGCGCGGCTGAAATTTGAGTTATAATTCGTGCCTGTGCCTGTGAAGAACCTGCTTGCGCACTGGATGCTTCCATATTCGTTTGTCCAGAATCTAGATGCCCAACAACTTCAAAGGACACTTCAATGTTGGATCTTTGTGTGCTTGAGGTGCGCAGTGACTCAACTTGGCATGCCAACAGTCTGGACCGAGCTTGAACAGTATGGATCGAAATGCTGGAATTCAACAAGCTGAATTGTGTACTACAAAGCTGGTGGATCCCCTTGTGATGGCCTAGCTAAAGGCTCCAGGATTGTAGTCAGTCACCCGAGCAAGGCAGCAATACAGGTTTCCTGTGCAGGCTCGACGCCGTTCACCATATCTTTGAGCAGCACCTGCTCAAATCTGCTGAGCTGATTTGCGCATTGCCAGGCAGTATTCTTGTGGAATCTTGTGGAAGCTCTTCCGTCTTCCACCTGTCATGTCTAAGTCCTTACAGCAACAGAAACGGACCTTCTCTCACAGGAGCGAATGAGCAGAACCAAAGAAGAAAGCACCGTCCGAGAATCGGTCACCTTGATGCTAGGCTTGCCCGCCCGGCCTCATCCTCCTTATCAGGCTCAGGCGCAGGCTGAGCCTCTTTGGCTTTGGTGTCCCGCGCAGGCACAGCCTGAGGAACAAGATAGCGACGTCTGATGCTGTTATTCTTCAAATCACGATCACTTGTTGCCGGGACCCATGATTCTCGGACACATATCTAGAAACTTGTGCCCACGGGTTGGCCGCGTACCAAAGGACATTTGCAAGCAACACGTCGGCTTGGTGGCGTTAGGGCTTCTCTTGCCTGGTTCCTATGAAATAGTGAAACGTTTTTTCCCCACCTCTCACCCTGCGGACAAAGTCAGGCTTAGGATGGCGCTGCGGCATGCAGGCATTCTCTGTTTCGTGGGTGGTTTGCTGAGTTGCTTTTGAATCCGCCAATCTTTGGGCCTTGTTGGGCCCCAAAACGCGGTGGGGGTGGGTAGGCGGGTAATCTGGTCGGCTTTGGCTGGAGAAGCCCACATCTGAAGCAGCCAGCTGAGCGGACTTCCAGAAGGTACCCAAGGAGATTCTATCAATAACCTCGAGAAGAAGTACTTCTGGGCCCCCCGCTTCTGGGCGTGGGGGCCCGGCCTGGCTAGTTGGCTCCTGCGAAGACACACCTCCGCCTTCCTTCGTGCGCGCACGTAGCAGGCTCCCGGTGACAGGATCCTGCAGAGTCGCGGCAGCCTGGCGTGATCTGGCGTGCACTCCTCTCGCTTGCGACTGGTGGCCTCATGTCCAATCCCCGAAACCGTAGGCGAGGCGACCGTTTTTCGATTCCAATATTGACTGCGCTGGCGTGAAACTGCTTGCCGTTTGACTAATGACTTCTGCTACGACTTTCCGGCTCGTCTTACCGGGGAGAGCCTGACTGCTTGGGGCCCAGCCGGAGGCTCTTAAAGCGCGCCTAGTCTAGTGGGGTGTAAATTTCGGGCCTGTTCCTGCGATCTTCCGCAGGCGCAAGGTTGTGACGTTTTGTGACTGATGGATCTGACGCGAAAGTCCCGCCTTGGTCCGAGCTGCCCCCGGCAAGTTGCCAAGTTGTTTTGTTTGGCGATAGATTCTTAGCCCAAGAGGAGGCCAATGGAGGCTGTGGATATAGCAGGTCCCAGCCCCACCTTGCAGAAGCTTGAAAGCGGGCGTGGCAAAACTAGGGTATCTCCACCAAAGCTTGACCCCTTCTACAAGTACATTCGCGCGAAGGGACCGCGCATAATCAGTCATTCTCTTCAAGAAATACCTCTTCTGGCACTTGCTGGGAAGCCGCTCAAAGGACCCATGAAAACAAGAACAAGCCCGGCCGTGATGCGTCTGACACCTCTCTGCTCGACATCTGGCTCCGTTGCAGCGGCGCAAACTGCACAAGCGAACAAGCTTTCACAGCTAGCTGTAACTGAGAATTCGGCGAGCTTTGCTGGAGCTTTGCTGTCTGGGAGGGCCGGAGCCTCGCGTGGTGATGAAGATAGATGATAATGATGATATGCTCATGATCGTGATGCGGCATTCAAGTTCGTAATGTTGCACTATCTTTCGCATGGATACCATCAATGTCAATTTTCCGGCAAATTGGATACGCCAATTGTTTTGGGGTACCTGCCTTCCTGCCAAACTTTGAGGGCCAACTGAACAATTTTCAATAGTAATTTCTGCTACCTTGAAGCTTCTTGCTTTAAAGCCTTAAGGCGTGGATCTCTAAAATGAAGACCTACATATCTTAGAGCCCCAGTTTGTACCACTTAATTCATTTTTCTGGCCCTCAACAATTTGTGCCATCTAGTCCACTGGAAAGAGGTACCCTCTTTTGTAAGATTCTTTGTTGTCAAACGCAGTTCGCCGCCTAAGCAACCATTTGTAGAAGCCTCTTGCAGTAAAGGTTTTATACTCTGAGGAGCTCGAAATCTCAGAGCTCCAGCTGTGGTCGCCACCAGATTCACCCACCCACCCAAATTGTCTAGAGCTGCCGCTTCAACAAGGTCAACCTAAATTGTTTGGCGGGGTCCTACGCACTATAAAGAGAGGGCAGCATTAGCGCAGAATTTTCTTGGACCTAAGGTATTGAAGCGAGAGGTTGACGATATGATTTAGTTAACCTCTGCAGCACCGCGACTCATTGAACCGAGGCATGGTGTGCAGGGAGTCTCATATCTTCTTCATAGGCGGCTCACCGATCATCACGTGCAAGCTGCTGAGCTGTTTCAAATAGCTCGCTGCAACCACGGGCCTGCTTCTGAACCTTGCTCTTTGGCAAAGGCACATCCTGACAAGAAAGGATTCAAGATGTTTTCTTGGGCTAAGCACTGACTCCACTGAACCTACCCTCGAAAGCTGGCATGCAGCATAATAACACGCTTGCTTCTGTGGGATAAAGTCTGGGTGTCATGAGGGACAGTACCCGAGGCCTCCTTTGGGTGTCTGACAGCTGTAGCTAGGCATAGCTAGGCGCACTTTTGTTTTTGTTCCGGTCGCCGGCAGATTCTATGCTTCCGTGATGGCGCAGCACGTAAACTCTGAGAACTGGGTCGCCCACAGGCGCGGTGCGCCCAAAGCTCGGAAAGCAGCGGAACCGTTTTCCGCTGATGCTGGAAACGGTAGCCAATGCTTTCATGACTGCGTTCACGTTGTCAGGATTGTCTGAGAAGCAATGAATCGACACGGCCCCATGAAGCCTAACCTCCGCAATCGTGGCGTATGCCAGCTTGCCAACAGGTGTCGTCGCAGTTGCTTTCAGCAGGCGGGAGTTGCTGAAATCGATGGAGTTGAAGTCCTCCCAGCTTGGCCCTCGGACCGCCTGAACCCACAGAGCTCGAGCAGAAGATGAAGATTTAGACGTTTGCTGGTCATTAGCCACTGGATTCAAGGAAGTCCAGGAAACACGAAACTCTGCTACATGCCCTTTCAGCAAGCAAAAGGATCGAATGGCCTGCATCACATCCGCAGCCGCTCGGCAGCTCATCTTCACTTCGTAGCCCATGTGTAAACGATCTTGCACGGAAGCCATGAAGCGACGCTTGGCTTCCTCATCATTGTTGCCGGACGGATAGACCTGGAACTCTTTGTAGGATACCTTCGGAACAGCTACTTCATCCCTGAACGTCACATACGTGAAAAGCCTGCTGACAGGATGCTCCATGGGCGTCACGATGTTGCAAATGCACTTCAATCCCTTGAACGGATGCAGGCCCGGTGCAGATGCCAAACCTTTGGCAAGAACAGCCACCGCCGCCTCATCCTCCAATGATGCATAGACCCGCACGGCCTGTGATTCTGGTGGGGCTGACTCCAGCACGCTGCAAATTGAACGAGCCAACGCCGGCGCTCGGGTCTCTGCTTTTACTGGTATGGACTTTGTGTTCATGATGCGGGTTTGTAGATACTCTTCCCACGGCAAGAAGCTCTTCGCAATGAAATGAAGGCAGCGTTCCTTCTCAGACTCTTTTGTCATCCAATCTAATTGGAACTCAACAGCTTTTGGACATGTCGCGAAAGCTTGTAACGTGTTGCGGCAGGCGACAGGGCCCCAGGCTGATAATTCCACGGTTTCGCCCTTCTCCAGTGTCCTGTGCAAGTGACGGCGGAAGGTGGACACCTTCTCTGCGGATGCGCCGCTGCCGGGTGGCCGCATCTTGACCGAGAATTTCCTCGAAAATCGAGTAGTATGCAAGAAAAGCCGATGTCTGTGTTTCACAAGCATGGCCCTGCGGGTGCACCAAGTTATCATGACCAGGGCCCAGGGGGAGCTGCCCTGCTATGCTTTTACTACTCAGCTGCTTGTGGTATCAATGGTAGAGATGCGCTGGTGCTGGACAGGATTCCATTCGGCTTTTGAGTGGCACGCCTCGATTTCCAGTTATTATAGCTTGTGCTAGCTTGGCCGGCGACTGGGGCCGATGCCTGGCTGCAGCGATTCGTGGCTGAATGTGCGCACCACCCATGTAAACGAGTGGTTCACAACAAGAAGTCTGCATGACAGCCAGCAAAACCTAAACTGCTTGCGAGTTCTTTGCTGCTGATAGATGCGAAATGCCAATGCCATTCAAGTGTGACTTTGGAGTACAGCATCCACAGCAAGTTTGCATCGGGTCCTTTTCAGCCAGGATGTTGCTGTCCTTCACCTCCTTTGAAACCTTGCGCAGAAAGGAAATTTTCGCATCTGGTGTAAGGCCTTTTTTGACCACAGGTGCATGCAACCAAAGTTGCGCAGTCATTGTAACATGTACGGCAGGAGTACTTGCAAGCACCGGACGATGGCACATGCAAAGCACAAAGCAAGGGAGCAGTATAGGAAGGACACCAAACACTCGATCTCGAACCCTGAACCCGAAGCCATACTGAAAGGGCGCGCCGTGCGGAAAAAGCCCGCTTTCCAGGGCCGACTTTGCAGCTTCCTGCGCCAGCTTATCTTTCTCAAAAGGGAACCTCTTGACAGATGCAAAGGCCGCGAAAAGGGCGTGGTGTCACTGACAGCCAGGTTTATCTACGTTGAAACCAATCTATCATGTGGGCAGCGCACGTGTGTGGGGTTTGTACGGCGAGAACCAGCAATTTGCAGGTGCCCAAAGAAACTCATGCAACTGTTCGGCATACATATCTTGTAGATTCTTGTAGCGCGGGCTTGCTATCAACCCAATGAATGATCTCTCTCTGCCGTGCTGGGTGCTGCCCTCAATTTTCAATATCTTCCTCGCACACGCGTATACGGGGTTGCTTTTTAGGAACTTAAATTAAGTATATGGGGGGAACCCATTATACACGCATGCGTGGCTTCGGCTTCGCAGGCCACTGGATTCAGGCTCTGCTTAGAGGGGTGTGGAATCCGAGGAACCAAATGGCCTCTTTGCCCTTCAGGCATATAAACTGAAGCTGATGAAGTCCAACACTAAGTCGCGTGTGCCCAAGCGAAGAGGTCTAGGAATCCTTACCAAAGTTCCTGAAGACCCCATGCGGGAAGCCCTCTCTGACTCGTCTGCTCGCATGTCTCCGTTTTTGTCGACTAGCCTTGGAAGTCTAACGATGGCATATGGCGCCAAGACCTGGACATGTCGAAAGCCCTGTTTCGCCTCCCAGTGCTTTGGACGTCCGGCTTGGCCTTGGCCAGCAACCAAAGAAATGTGCAGGAACAAGCAAAGCCTCGCAAGAAGAGAGTCCAAATCCCAATTTAGCCTGAACAACCTTTCGCCCTGGAACCACTGGCCAGGAGGTTTCTGAAACCATGTAATGTACTCATTGTCTCGCAAAAAGGAGCCGGCTCGAAATTTTCTTGCTGCACCCAAAAGGCCGGAGGGGCTCCATCTGTCGGAGCCTTCTTTTGTTGGGGCGGTGCAGCCTGGCAAGAAGGCTGCTTCTCTGTTTGAAGTGCCACCACTGAGCCCTAACTGCTCATTGCCAAGGACCATCCCAGCCAGCTCAAACGCCAAAGATCGAAGCCACGAAAACATTCATTGTACTTCTAGAGGAAACATGAAGATGCCTGGCCCCACACAAATACCAAATGCTCTCGTGCTCACCGTTGACCCAATTTTAACAAGGACGGAAGGGTCTAGTTTAAGGGGATTACCAAAGTATGGGCGGGTGGCCCTCTCATGCGAATGTCGTGCATGTACAGAATGGAGCAGGACAGCTTCATAGCTGCGTGGAAGTGACAACAGGGCCCAGGCAATCACAGGAGCAGAAGCGTAACTGGATGCCAGCCAGCGCACATACTTCATTGATTCAAATGCTTATTGAGCTTTTTTAAAGGAAACTCGTTGAGGAAAGGAGCAGAGATAGTCCTGAAACATCTCCAGAGAAACAGGATTCAAAACCTCCTGACCTCCTGATTCAATTCAGAAAGTCCTCAGCAATTGGCCCGAAACTCTGTAAGCTTGCGCCCAAGGATATTCCAGAGGTGTCTCTTCATGGAAATGAACGCAACTTTAGCCGAGGAGGCCCAAAACATCCGATCATTGCTCTACCACCGGATTTGACAATCCCACCTGTAGTGACTTAAATCCGCCTCCTCAGATGGCACTGGAGAATTCTGAAGAGCTGTTACAACTGGCTGGCATCATCCAAAAAGCTTGGCAGCAAGACTGAGACCCTACGCCTGCAGAAAGCTTGCAGGCCTCTTTCTCTGGTTTCGGAGCGTGAGCCAGGCTCTTCCGAAAAGCATACGGCCCGGCCTCATGTCATGAAGAAACCTTGTGCAGAAGAAAGCTGGTGAAAAATTCAAACCCAAAACTTAAGCTGAACAGCGGGACGGAGACCTGTCACAGCTGCCTGGAACCTGGGGAGCACCTTTCCCGTCTAAACCGGTAGCCCAAAGCTTTGCCTTAGCTCCTGCTACCACAAACTCATAGCCCTGAGCCAGGGGACGATGGACCGGGCTGAGCTTGGTTTCTGCACGGCATAGGCCCAGGAAACGCCGCCGCCAGCGGCAGGCTGTCAGGCTGTCAGGCTCGTTTTCACATGCATGGACACACGGACAAGCAGCTTAAAGGCTAAGGTTTGAAGGCTGACCCGAGGTGGGACCCAAGCTGCACCCTCTGCAACAGCAGGTATCGTTCCTTTGAAGCTGGAACAGGCTTCTCAAGTGCAAGACTCCCTGGGTATCCGGGACCGGCCTTATGTGCGAAGAACTCAAGAGCTGCCCCCGGTGAGAGCAGCTCTGCGACGACCCCTCGACCGAGATGCCTCGGCTCGCAGGCCAGAAAAGTTTGCGACATGCATCGCAGCATTTGCGTGAGTGCCCGCCTGACTAAAAGCTGCCAAGTACACATGCCCAGATACACTGGCACTCGTTCCATGAAAATTCAGCACTCAAGGCCTGCGGATCAGTTAGCAGCACCGCCGTACCTTTGGCGTGTGCCAAACAAGCTCAAACATCGCAGAGCGTTGTTTTTCGAGATAGCTGCCGTGGTACGGTGGAAGCCTACTCGGGTTTCCACGCTGCCTTCGCCGACCAAGGGGGGACGGCTTGACATTCTAATTCTAATTTCGAAGCCTTCACGGTATCCTCGGCTTAAGCAAAGTTAGACAACACACTGGAGGCCAGAGGCTCTGCGGCCACTCTAGTTTTTCACATCTTTGAGCAAAGCCGCTCAGCTTGAAATTCCTTACTCAGTCGAAGAAGGCCTTAAAACAAGGGGCATTGCACAGGCCTTAAGAATGGGAGAATCTGGACATGCTTTGATGGAATGAGTTTATGAGCAAACTGAACATGAGGGAAGCGAGGGAAAAGAGAGTGGAATCAAGAAGCGAACAAGATGAAGAGCATTCAATTTAGTTGTGCTTGATCGATGAGAAATTTTACCTGCTAGTTTGAATCTTGAGGTTTGGATTCGTGAGCACCGCAAATTGAATGCCTTGAGCCTATGAAATTAACACGCTCATTACTTCCCTGTGATCATGCAATTAGAGAGCGGATTGCAGAGCCCGGTTTCCAGTGAAGAAAGTGATGCAAATCTCAGAGATTTAATGCGGGCGACTGCGAGCCAATGACCGCTGTTGTGAGGAATCAACTCAGAACTCTCGTTCATTTAAACACAGATTACACAGATTCTATGGCGGCTGCAGCAAACATGAAAACAATGCAATCAACAGATGAAAGCAATGTAGAAACAAACTACAGAAAAGAATGTCAGAAAAGGAAGCAAAGTACCAGGACGCAGACGGGAAAGTGACCAAAGAGAAGGCAGCATACAGTGAATCTATTTCTTTCATTCACTGACTTCCCGTCTAGAAGTGGAGGTGCGCAAGACTGGGGATTTCATCCATGCATGGATTCCAGACTGTGTCCATCGGTTGAGTCACAAGTCCAACTCAGCGCTGCGCGTCCGAGCAAAGAAGTGCTCCTGCTGGCCAGGGCCACCTCACATTGCACGTGCACAAACTTGATAGTACTAGTACTAGGAATTGTGCTAGTAATGGTGTAATTAGCTGAGAAGCTTCAGATTCAAGGCTCTAAATCCATAAGATTTAAAGGCCAGTGTCCACATCAGATGTTGCAGCTGAGCCCCAGCCGAGGATCAGTGCATGACACCTCCTCTCCCCAAACCATTTTGGACCCCCTACCCAAGACTGGACCTAGATCTAGATGCTTGCACTACAGACCAAAGCGGAAAGATGGAGCTACTCTGTACGTGCTACTCGTCATACCAGCTGGATGTGCGCATCCCATGAGTCGGGCTCACAGCTGCTGACTGAGCATCTGGCGTATGAGACCTTAGCAGCGGTCGGGTTCAGGAGGGGGCCTGCTCCGCTTGTTGGGCTTCGGGTATATTCCGGATCTCTGCCTGAGTCTGCATGGGTACGCTTAAGACCAGAGGTGATTAGGCGATCCAAGGCGCCATAAGCGAACTGCACCCGGTTCAGCGAGCTGTCGAAGCCAACGAAGGTGCCCAAAATGCGGGCACCATCCTGGCGGGAAGACGAGTTCACAGGCGGCCTGGCTTCCGTTCTGACACCCATGACACCCGTGACTATACTGGCGCTGGCTTCGTGAGCCGGATCACAAGGCAAGCTTAGCAGCAAATGCCGGGCTCTTCTGCCGCAACACGAGCCCTGTTACAACACTTGGCATGTGAACCGGACACTCATGTCGACTTTGGCCCATGCTCATCCCGAAATGCACATTCCTGAATAACA